TCATTATCCACTCATCAATTGAGGGACACTTAGGTTGCTTCCATCTCTTAGCTATTGTGAAAAGAGGAGCAATAAACATGGATGTACAAGTGTCTCTGCAATAGGATGAGTTCTTTGGATATATGCCATAGAGTGGTATAACTGGGTCAAATGGTAGGGTCATTTGTAGTTTTTAAGAGTTCTCCACACTGCTTTCCATAGGGGTTGAACCGGTTTGCAGCCCACCTGCAGTGGATGAGTGTTCCCCTTTCCCTAGATCCTCTGTAACATTTGGTATCATTTGGTTTCTTGATCTTAGCCAGTCTGACTGGGGTAAGGTGAAATCTTAATGTGGTTTTAATTTGCATTTCCCTAATTATTAGGGATGTTGAACATCTTTTAAGATGTTTCATAGCCATCTTTACTTCTTCTTTTAAGAACTCTCTGTTCAGCTCCTTAGCCCATCTTTTAATTGGGTTGCTTCTTGTCTTGGTTCTCTGTTTTTTGAGTTCGTTATAAATTCTGGTAATTAAACCTCTGTCAGATGTGTCGCTGGTGAAGATTTTCTCCCATTCCGTGGGTTTTCTGTTTGCTTCCTTGGTTGTCTCCTTTGATGCACAAAAGCTTTTTAGTTAAATGTGGTCCTATGTGTTAATTCTTGCCCTTGTTTCCTGAGCAACTGATGTCCGGTTTAGAAAATCCTTTCCTACGCCTACAACTTGTAGGTTTTTCCCAATGTTTTCTTCTAATAGTTTCAGAGTTTCAGGCTTTATATTGAGGTCTTTGAGCCATTTGGAATGGACTTTTATGCAGAGTGAAAGATGGGGGTTTAGTTTCATTCTTCTACAAGTGGAGATCCAGTTTGGTCAGCATCATTTGCTGAACCTGCTGTCTTACCTCCAGTTAATGTTCTTGGCCCCTTTGTCAAATATCAGGTGGCAGAAATTGCATTTACTCATATTTGGGTCTTCAATTTTGTTCCATTAATCTATGGGTCTATTTTTGTGCCAGTACCATGTTGATTTTATGACTATAGCTCTGTAATACTGCCTGAAATCTGGTATAGTAATCCCCCCGGCATTGCTCTTAGTGCTCAGGGTTGTTTTGCCTACCCGAGGTCTTTGTGTTTTTAATATGAATCTTAAGATAGATTTTTCCAATTCTGTGAAAAATGTCATGGGAATTGTGATTTGCATTGCATTGAATCTATATTTGACTTTTGGTAGGATGGTCATTTTCACAGTATTAATTCTTCCAATCCATGAGCATGGGAAGTCCTTCCATCTTCTGATGTCTTCCCCAATTTCTTTCTTTAAAGATTTAAAATTTTCATTGTAGAGCTCTTTAATGTTTTTGGTCAGGTTTATTCTGAGATTTTTTTTTGCAGCTATTGGGAATGGGAGTATTTCCATTTGCTCTTTCTCTGATTGCCTGTTATTGGTATATAGAAAGGCTATAGACTTTTGTAGGTTAATTTTGTAACCTGCCACTTTACTGAATGTGTTAATAATTTCTAGGAGTTTGCGTGTGGAATTTTTGGCATCCCGTAGATATAATATCATATCATCTGCAAACAGGGATAATTTGAGCTCTTCTTTTCCAATTATTACTCCTTTAATTTCCTTCTCTTCTCTTTCTGCTCTTTCAAAAGTTTCAAGTACTACGTTAAAGAGAAGTGGGGAGAGTGGACAGCCTTGTCTGGTTCCTGATTTCAATGGGAATGCTTCCAGTTTTTCTCCATTTAGAATGATGTTGGCTGTGGATTTGTTATATATGGCTTTAATTATGTTGAGGTATGTTCCCTCCAGTCCAATTCTCTCTAGGACTTTAAACATAAAAGCATGTTGAATTTTGTCAAAGGCCTTCTCTGCATCTATTGAGATGACCATGTGGTTCTTGTCTTTGAGCCCATTTATATGATTTATAACGTTTACTGACTTATGTATATTGAACCATCCCTGAATCTCTGGGAGAAAGCTGACTTGATCATGGTAGATAATCTTTTGGATGTGTGTCTGTATGAGGTTTGCAAGTATCTTGTTGAGAATTTTTGCATCTATGTTCATTAAGGATATGGGTCTATAGTTTTCTTTTTTGGTTGTATCTTTACCTGGCTTTGGTATTAGAGTGATGCTGGCTTCATAGAAGGAATTTGGAAGTTCTCCCTCCATTTCTATCTTTTTGAATAAATTAAGTAGTATTGGGTGCAGATCTTCTTTAAATGTCTGATAGAATTCTGCTGTAAATCCATCTGGTCCTGGCTTTTTTTAGTCGGGAGGTTATGTATTACGGTTTCAATTTCTTTTTGTGTTATTGATCTGTTTAAGCTGTTAATCTCTTCTTGGTTTAGTTTTGGTGGTTCCCATGCCTTTAGATATCCATC